CTTCCAAGTAGGTGGGACTACAGGCATACGCCACCATATCTGGTTAATATTTTTTTTTTAATTTTTTTGTAGAGATGAGGTCTCACTGGGCCAGTCTGGAACTCCTGGACCCAAGTGATCCTCCTGCCATGGCATCCCAAAGTGTTGGGATTACAAGCATGAGCCTCCATGCTCAGCCTCTTTTTCTTTTTTGCTGTTACTGCCATGTTGGGAGAGAGAGAGAGAATGCAAAATTGGGTGCTGGACTTTTTTTTTTTAGTCATGCAGATTAGAGTTTGTATTCATTCTTACTGAACTGAACCTTGTATCATTTCTCTCATTCTTAATACTGTTATTTTGTTTGACCACTGGGATTATTATAATTAATCCCAGCTTTCTTTTTGTTTGTATTTGCCTGGCATGTCCTTTCATTTGTATGTTATTCTGTAGGTGTCTCTTTCTGCTTTTGAATTTATGCAAATTGAAAGTTTATTGTGATTATTTGGACTCTTACTTTGTGCTTTCTGATAGTCTTTGTTATTTTGGGCTTTTTTCCTTCTTTTTCTTTCTAGTCTGTTGTGAATAGATTGAATTTACTTATTCTGTTCTGCTTTACTCTGTTAGTTTGGAAATTATAACCTCTTATTTCCATTCTTTCTGAATCTCTTAACATTCAGAATGTATTGAGATTCAGAATGTTCTGTATTCAGAATGTTCTGTAAAGAAGATAGGAATAAATCCTTGCATTGTTCAGTAGAAAGAATACAATCTAGTTTAACCTTAAATTGCATAGTATTCACTGTTTGAATACTATGCAATTTAAGGTTAAAAGATTGTATTAACCTTAAATTGCATAGTATTCAAACAGTGAATACTATGCAATTTAAGGTTAAACTAGATTGTATTCTTTCTACTGAACAATGCAAGGATTTATTCCTATCTTCTTTATCCCTACCCTGCCCTTCTAATTATATGTTCTATATGTTAATGTGTATAGTGTTTTTATTTAAACACTCTACTGATATTTTGTTATTTTGTTCAGATAATGTTTATATAGATTTACTGGTATGCTTAGCAGTTTTTTTACTCATCTTTCCATTCATTTGTCTCAGATCATCCTTCTGGGGTACGTTTACTCTTTTATGAAACACATTCGTCGGTTTTTTTTTTTTTAAGTAAAAGTCTGCTGTTGATAAACTCTATTTTAGTTTATTTTTCAGTATCTTAATACCTTCTATTTTCTCCAAAGAGACTTCTGGTTGTTATGTAATTTTTAATTGTCTCAGTTATATGTGGATATTTGTTCTACCTTCTCTGCTTCCATTGTTGCTGTTGAGGATCCTGTTTTATTTTACTGTCTTTTTAAATGTATTCTCTCTCTCTGTCTCTCTCTCTCTCTCTCTCTCTCTCTCTCTCTCTCTCTCTCTCTCTCTTTTAATGAGTCAGGGTCTCACTCTGTTGCCCAGGCTGGAGTAAGTAGCAGGCTCATCATGGCTTACTGCAGCCTCGACTTCCTGGCCTCAGGTGATCCCCCTCCGCCTTAGCCTTCTTAGTAGCTGGGACTGCAGGCATGTGGCACTATACCTGGCTAATTTTTCTGATTTTTTTTTTATAGAGATGAAGTCTCACTATGTTGCCCAAGCTTTTAACATGGTATCTATTTTTGTGTGCTGCAGTTTTATTACTGTGTGTTTGAGTGTGAATTTCTTCATATTTATCCTGCCTTTCTCTCTCTCTCTCTCTCTCTCTCTCTCTCTCTCTCTATATATATATATATATATATATAATTTCTTACAACTGTGGATAAATGTCTTTCTTCTTTTCTAAAATTGTCATTTTCTCTTGTAGTATGACCAATTCTCTCTGTTTTCTTGAGATTTTTATTAGAGGTATAGGCCAGGTCTCAATTTATTCATCATGTCTTTTAACTTCTTTTTAGTACTTTCTATTCGTTTATGTGCTATTTCTAAATTATTTTTTCAGGTTTATATTCAGGTTTCCTGATTCTCTTATAATTTCTGACTAATCTGATTTTAAGTATTTTAGTTATCACACTTTTTCTTTTTTCTTCTATTTTTTTTTTTTTTATGTTGGGGTCCCACTTTGTTGCCCAGACTGGAGTACAGTGGCATGATCATAGCTCACTGCAGCCTCGACCTTCTGGGCTCAGGAGATCCTTTTTCCTCAGCCTTCCATGTTACTGGAACTACGGGCGTGCACCACCATGCCTGGCTCATTTTTTTGAATTTTTGTAGAGGCAAGATCTCATTATGTTGCCCAAGCTGATCTGGAACTCCTGGGCTCAAGTGATCCTCTTGCGTTAGCTTCCCAAAGTGCTGAGATTACAGGTGTGAGCCATTGTGCCCAGCAATTATTTTTAAAATTTTATTGCTGAATAATTAGTACAGCTATTCTGTCCTAAAGGAAGTGGAGCATAACTGCCCCACTCCTTTAGTGTAGACCGCTCATAATGATTTCCTCCTCAAAAGGTAAGTGTGTGGAAAGGGAGAAAGATTAATGTTACGATGGTGGAATCTGATAAACACTTCCTGAACCAGATGATCAAGGGCAGCATCCGGTCATAAATTATCTTGGTAGCATGTACCCTGAATAAAATGTAATGAAAACAGCACTTGATATCTGTGAACTTCGTCCCCAAAACCAGTAACTCCAGTTTAATAGTGAGAAAAGCATCAGATGAACGAGGAATAGCCCTTAATATCCCAATTAAGGGATATTTTATAAAACACTTGAACAGTAATTCTCAAGCTGTCAAGGTCATCAGAAACAAGGAAAATTTTGAGAAACTGTCACAGCCAAAAAGATCCTAAGGAAATGTGACAACTGAATGTCATAGGTATTCTGGGTGGGATCTTGGAGTCAAAAAAGGGCATTATGTAAAGTCTAAGGGAAGCTATGGACATTAATTAATAGTAATATGTTGATATTGGTTCACTTATTATGACATGTAGCATACTAATGTAAGATGTTAATAATAGGGGAAACTGGGTGTAGAGTATTAGAGAACCCTGCTGCTCTATTTTCACAACTTTCTTGAAATCTAAAACTATTGTAATATAGAGGATTTCCTTAAATAATTTTTATCTGAATTTTTTTCAATAAACAGTGTCATTTTTATAATCTCTTCTTGTTTGACCATGTTTTACTTTATCTTTTATTGCTAAAACTGGTTTTAAAAAGTTTATAGGTAATCATAATATTTAAAATCCTTGGAGGCCAGTGACTATTTTCTTTTGGTTTTGCTGAGTCTCACTCATGGTGAGTTTTTTTCTTATGAATTTTGTTTTTTAAATTATAGGCTCAGATTTAGTTGCTTTTCATTGGAGTAATCCCAGTGCCAGTGACTTTAATTGGGGTACTTGCCTAAGATCACACACACACACATACACACATACACACACACACACACACACACACACACACACACACACACACACACACACACACACACACACACACGCTTCTGCTGTATGTTAGAAGTTACTACTGATTTGAGCCCTAGCTTAATGTGGGAGTCTCAACTCTTTCACCTTTTAGCAGGCCCAATACAGTGTCTCCTGGTCTCAGGGTTACTATCAGTAAGTGTCCAGGGCAACATTCTGATTTTTTTTTCTTACTACTCATGATCTCACGATTCTTTTTGTTTTTTAACTCAATTTAATTGGTTTTATTTATTTTGTTTATTACTATTATATGGTGGTAATAGCAGGTTTAATAATTTCCCACACTTTTGGAGAATATAACATGCTTGAAAAGTAGTGCCTTTTAATTTATCTTGGACCTGTTTGCTTTATAGCCAGAAGTCCTTTCAAAATATCTAATAGTATACCAGACTGCTAGAAATTGGGATACCTTCAGCTACCATTGATTTTCTTCATTGTTCATTGACTATTTAATGATTTCATCTCTATTGGTTTTCTTGTATGAAAATGACAGGTGATACACCCTCAGGTAGATGTAATCCTCTAGTCTATTTTCTCACCTGCAGAATGAGAGCATTCCTTTGAATGAGGTCTTAGAACCTATGAATATGTTCATTATAGTTCATTAATCATATAGTAAGCAACTATTTATCTTGTCTTTTTACATATACACACATCATATATGCAATTATAAATAAGTGAAGAGAGTGTAATGATTTTAGAGTATTGGGTCCCAGAATTTGGGAGAAGGATCTAAGTAGAACACTGAAAAGTCTACAAATAGATGGAAAATCAAAATAAGCATTAATATTCATTAATATTTCTCAGTCTTGCCTGGAATATTCTACTTTATCTTTAGTAAGTTAAGGATTGATAGAAGTTGAGCCTTGAGATATTTGTGATGGAGAAGAAAGCTGAAGTAGATCCACTTTGTATTTTATTTAAAAAATAGAAATTGGATTAAGAGGGGTGTGGAATAGAGCTTGAAAAAAAGCATGTAAGATTTACTAAAGATATACTAATACAATATATAAATCTGGACTAGACACTATATTTAAAATTTTTTGATAAAGGGCATTGTTGGGACAGTCGATGAAATTAGGATATGGATTATAGATTAGATAATTGTAATGTACTAGTTAAATTTCTGAAATTCAATCATTGTGCTGTCATTTAAGATAATAGTTTTATTCTTAGAAATACATGCTAAAGTTTTTAAGGGTAAAAAGGCAGCATACTCAGCTAGTTCAGAGAATAAACAAATATATATAGTAGAATAATAAATATGAACTATTTTATATATTTATTTTATTAATAAATCCACTTGTGACCCTGAATATTTAGTATTATCATTTATTTTGTTGTTCAGATGGACTAAGATTTGGTTTTTTGGCCACATTCTATTATGCTTATAATGCTAAGTCTCTATTTTAAATGGAGGACAGCTATGAACTTGTCAATATGTGACTGGTTGCAAATAAGTGTAGCTTCTTAGTTGATTCAGATAAACAGCTTTAATCATTTTGAAAATTACAATCTCTTATCTAACACATGAATACATTACCTTTTTTTAAATAGGTTTTAGCTGAATTTTGGGACATGGCCACTGCTTCACCAAGGTCTGATACTAGAAATAATCACAGTGGAAGGTTACAGTTACAGGTAACTGGTAAGTTATTTTTATATTTAACATGGTGATTTCCTGATGAAATTTTTGAATTCCTAATTCAGCAGACTATTCCGTAAGTATAATTTTAGATTCATACTGTGGCATATTTGTTGTAACAGGCCTCAAAGGTACATGCCCTCTAGAAGTATATTATTTATTCAGTAAACATTTATTGAAAACCTATACTGATGAAGAGAAGGTACATCCTCTTTAGTGTTGAGAGAATTGAGGTTTTGGAATAAATGTCACTGAGTTGGTTCTTAAATAATTAATAGAATGGAACAGGATGTTGAAGTTCTTTTTTCATTCATTTAGCCATTGGTTCAATCACTGGGCAAACATTTGAGTGGGATTACATAGTACTATAATTCCCATGGTACTCAGTACTATGAGGTTGGTTGTTTCTAAAAGGTTTTAAGTGAACAGAGCTACAAAGTGTTTATCATCTTAGAAAGAAAAAAAAAAAAAAGCAATCCTGAGTTCATGCTGATATTTCCAGTTCAAAATAACTGTAGTTTCTAAATGCCTTTTCCACTATAAGGAAAAGATATATTTTTACTTAAGTATATATTTGTATCTCTTTTCTTGTAACTCAAAAGTCTTAATTCCAAATGACACTAACATAACTATATCTGTTTTATCCTAATACACCCACACAGACTAGTTTCAAAATAACAACATTAACATGACCAAAACAACAGGTCCGCTCATTACAGTTTAAGATTCCTTTGTGAATTTCTTAGAATGTATAATCAGAATACCATGTTTCAAAGTAACTTAAAGTCTCCATTGGATTATGGTACCAAATTGATAATCAGTTAGGTTCATTCTTTTGAGTTATTTTTAAAATTTTTGTTTTAGAGCCATGTAAGCATATTTATTGTTCCACAGTTGAAAACTAAGATGCATTTATAGAGTCTGCCTATTCTCAGTCCCATTTTCCCACTCTCTTGTTTGCTCTGTAGGTTAACATTTTTATTAGTTTTGATTTATCCTTCTGTTGCTTTTTTTTGAAAATATAAGCAGATATGTCCAGTAAATATATCATCTTTTCTCTTGACTCCCCATTTCTCACATACTTTTCTGCAGTTTCCTTTTTTCACATCACAGTTTTATCCTGTAATTTGTTTGTTTTTTGTTTTTTTGAGTTGGAGTTTCACTCTATGGCCCAGACTGGAGTGCAGTGGCCGCTCCCGGCCACCACAGCCTCTACCCACTGGGCTCCGGCAATCCTTCTGCCTCAGTCTTCCGAGTAGCTGGAATTATAGGTGTGCGCTACCACGCCCAGCTCATTTTTGATTTATTGTAGAGATGAGGTCTCGCCAAGTTGCCCAGGCGAGTCTCGAACCCGCGGGCTCAGGCAATCCACTCACCTCAACCTCCCAAAGGCGCGGGATTACAGACTGAGCCAATTTGTTTCATAACACTATACTCCTTCCTATCATTGTACCATACTCTATTAAATGATTGTACAAAAGTTAACTAGTTTACTATTGATGGACATTGGGGTTCCACTGTTTCCACTGCAAACAGTGCTACAACAAATAGCTTCATACAGATGTCATTTTTTTCTTTTTGCTCATGTGTCATTAGGTTAGGATACAAGCATGAAGATTCCTAGGTCAAAGATTCAACACATATAATTTTGCTAGTTATTGGCAAATTCCTCTCCACAGTGGCTATACCATTTTGTATTTCCACCAACCATATCAGTTTACCTATTTTTCCGTAGCCTAACGAAAATATATTATGAAGTTTTGTATTGTTGATAATCAGATATTGAAGTGATATCTTGGTGTCATTTTAAATAGCATTTCTCTGATTGCTATTTAAGAGTAAGGCTACTCTTAATAGTAATTACTCATAATCTTACTCAAGATTTTGAGTAAGTTTCAACTATAAGGGATATTTATATTTTGTTTTCTGTGAATTATCGCATCTAAATTTTGAAGCAATTCCACTGAAGAACTACTTACATAATGCCTTCTACTTCTACATTTGCTCTCTTTAAGTTTAGGGCTACTTTTTTAATGCAGTGTAACTTGAATAGGACCCGTGGCCAATAATACTTGAGGTATAACTTTCCTCCTGGTGTTGACCTATGTCTAAGAGTTCTTTTTTGGAGTAAGAAAAACCTGATCTGACTAATTTGAGATGAGAAGAAACTTCTTGAAAGGCTGTCAAGTGAATCACCAGAAGTCTAGAGAACCAGTTGGAAAGTAGATGTGAACCAAGGGAGTCTGAGTTGACGAGATAATGCCATGACAGTGTTTATGATTTTGAGCATCAGTTACTTCTCTCCTTTAAATAAAGTGATACTCTTGGGAAATACTGAGTTTGGACCTGTGCTAAGTGGTACCAGATTTTAGTGCCTTCTTTTCTTCTTGTCTTTCATTTTGTTCATCTAATTTTTTAAAGTAAAAAACATCTTAAAAATCTACAATCTTATCCATTTCACCATACTTTGTGTAGTAAATATTACTACTTCTGATTTGTCAGTGAAGAATCTGAGAATCAGAGGAATTAAAGTGCCCATTCTGTTAGAAATGGGAAACCAACTAAGGACTTAGGACTCCAAGTTTTGCTCCTTTTATTAGATGTGACCTCTATATTGATTTTGCTTTTATTTTTAAAAATAATCAGATAAGCACCCTGATTAAGACCCCCCTAATGTTTCAGCCTGGCAGTTTATTGTCTGTAAACTGAGGTACTCTGCTCTAAGTCAAATTAGTTTTAAAATACTAATTTGTTTTTATTATTATCATATTTATTTCTGTTCTAAGCCCATATGTGATTGGCAGCAACAAATAAAATAAAAACATTGATCTTGAAAAGCAAGAAAACTATGAAGGAAAATAAACCAAACAAAACTACCTGTGGTAATATGGTAATATACTGCAGTATACCAAGTACGTAAGCATAATAGCATACAGAAAATTATTATCTGTATTATCCAAATGTGTAGGAGTATATTATTTTATTCTCTTTAAGTCTTTTATGTTCATCTGTAAAATTTTTTAGTTTTCTTCATGTGACTTCTACATATTTCTTAAGTTTACAACTAAATTTGGGGGGAAATATTATCACGAGCAGGATTTTTAAGTTATCTCCCCATGACTTTCCTTTTCTGATAGTTTTAAAATATTTTTATTTCTTTTTGTTATTTATTTATTTATTTTAGAGTCAAGGTCTCACTCCACTCCCCAAGTTGGAGTGCAGTGTCACAATCACAACTCACCACTGCTTCAGCCTCCTGGGCTCAGCTATCCTTCTGCCTCAGCTTCCCAAGTAGCTGAGACTACAGGTGTACCATACTCCGCTAATTTTTTTTTTGATTTTTTGTAGAGATGAGAGCTCTCTATATTGCCCCAGGCTGGTCTCAAAGTCCTGGCTCAAGCCATCCTCTCACCTCGGCCTCCCAAAGCACTGGGATTATAGGCATGCCCAGCCTGTCTTGACTTTTGATGCATTTTAGTATTTAGAGGTTGAGGATGTGGAGAAATCAACATATACTGTTGGTAGGAATGCAAAATGGTGCAGCCATGTTGGGAAGTAGTCTGACAGTTATTCAACTGAGTTACCGTATGAACCAGCAGTTCTACTCCTGAGTATATGCCCAAGAAAAATGAAAACATGTTCTCTCAGGAACTTACCCACAAATGTTCATAGCAGCATTACGTACACGCATGCATACACATGCACACACAGTCAAAAAGTGGAAACAATTCAGACATTTAGCAGTGGATGAATGGTTAAATAAAATGTGATGTGTCCATATAATAGAGTATTATTTGGCAAGAAAAGGAGTGTAGTATGGATGAACCTTGAAAACATTATGCTAAGTGAAAGAAGCCAGTTACAAAAAGGCCAAATGTTATGTGATTCCATTTATACGAAATGTCCAGAATAGGCAAAATTATAGAGACTAGAGAGTAGATTAGTGGTTGCCTAGGAGTAGTGATGAAGAGGGAATTGTTTGGGAGAAATATTAGAATGACTTCTTAATGGTATGGGCTTTCTTTTTGGATGACAAAAGTGTTTTAAAATTGATTGTACTGATGATTGTACAACTCAGAATATATAAAAACAATTGAATTTGTACAGTTCAAATGGGTGAATTATATGGTATATGAGTTATAGCTCATAAAACTATTACCAAAAAATTCAAATGATCCTCAGGCATTATCAATAGCCTTTTGTATGTCTTCATTCTGCCAATGAGAAGAGTCCTAGTTGCATAAGAAACACAGTTCCACTTTTATTGACTTATTAGTATACAGTACTACATTTTGGCTACAGATGACCACTAGTGATTATCATTTGTTTTGTTAGTTTCTAGTGCCAAACTGAAAAGAAAAAAGAATTGGTTTGGAACAGCAATATATACAGAAGTAACTGTAGATGGAGAAATTAAGAAAACAGCAAAATCCAGTAGTTCTTCTAACCCAAAATGGGATGAACAGCTAACTGTGTAAGTACCTTATATAAAGAATGCAAAGTCTTCAAAAGGGAGTGTGTTTCTTGGAATGTGTTTTTCATTTTGGAAAATGACTTCAGAGTAATGAGTGTTTTTTCCAATCTGACTAGACAGTTTAAAATATGAAGACTTTTTTTTTAAAAGAGAGGAAGCGGAATAATCCTTTCTTTTGCTTCATAAACCAACATTTTTTTTCCATGTACCCATATTTTCTCCAAATGTCTTGGTATACAATAAATAGTACAGAAAATTAGCCATCTTAATTTTGGCATTTTGAAATATAATGGTACACACTTGTGTATAGTAAAAGTATCATAACTAAAGCCATCAATTTTCTCAAGTCTTTAGGAATTTGCTCAAATAGAAACAATGTTACTATGAAGTCTCAGGAAGACTCTTGTATTGCTGGTGTTTTTGTTTTGCTCATTATAGAAATTCTTATCTAGTTATTAAAGTACTAATGTATTTGAAAGTAAATATTTTTATTTGTCATTTAAGTAGCTTACTGTTATATACAATATTTTTAAATAAACTGAACTCTGGATTTTAAAAAGTACTGAAATGTTTAATTGAAATTGTCCCTCAGAGTAATGATGTGTACTCATGAATTTTTGTTATAATTTTATTCTAACAGAAATGTGACCCCACAGACTACGTTGGAATTTCGAGTTTGGAGTCATCATACTTTAAAGGCAGATGCTTTATTAGGAAGAGCAGCGATAGATTTGAAACAAGCTCTGTTAACGCACAATAGAAAATGTAAGTTTTGTTCTAACCTTTTTTCCTTATGTTTATTTTAGACACTTTGAGCATATCCTGATGTCTAAAGGTAAAAAAAAAATTGTGTACTCATAAAGGAGAACTTCAGTTATTGCCTGTGATAGCTTTTATGTTCATGGTATTATATGAAATGGGAAATACTTACCCTGGCCTTTCTCCATTTGGCAAATTTACATAGCAATCTCAGTCATCCAAAGTACCCCATTATCAGTGATCATCACAATTTACTTACTATTATTATTAGTGTTATACCTTAAAACTTGAAAAAATAGTCATTATGTGAGCCTATTCTGTTACTTGACTAATAACAATTTATTTGGATAAAATCTAACTCTTAAATTTTATGTTTTCATTAGATAACTAGTTTATTATAGAAAATAAGGAAAATATAGAAAATCTTAGAGGAATATAAGAATTATTTGTAATTCTGCTCTCCAAGGATAAGCACTCTTAATAATTTGGTCTCTGATTTTTTGTTGTTCATAGACACAAATATATTTTTTTCTTTGCATCTACTCGTTTATCCTCTGTGTTTAAAAAATTGAAAAATGTATTGTAAATATCTTGCTTCCGTGATATTAAACTTTTCTAGATGGTGGGTTCTTAAGGTAATTTAAACTTAATTTTTGCAAACCTCTTATCATTTTTTTGTAAAAATTTGTGAGTACATACATATGTTTGTAATTCAAGGGAAGAATGCTTCATAGCTTTTATCAAATTCTTAAAATATGTGATCCACCGAAAATTAAAAACCAGAGTTCCAGTTTATGAGTTTTAGGAACCACATAATGTTCTTTCACATCATAATTTATTTAATCTTTTATTATCTGATGTTTAGTTCACTTAAAATATGTTCCTGTTCAAATCTGTAAGTCTTTGTGCTCACTTTCTTATTTTCTTAGATCTTTTCATTAATTCCTAAAAGTAGTTTTGCTGGATTAAGGTTTAAGATAACAAGTTGGTTTTTTGAAAGCTTTTCCTGAAAATCCACATACAACTTAAAAATCTGGTATTGGACATAAGGAGTTATGAGTCAATAGAATATATTAATTAAGCTTATGGTAATTAGTAATTAGTAATTTCTAAATGCTAACTACTAGTATACTATAAAAAGTAGTAACTACTTTTTATAGATTCTGATTTTTAAAAATGATCTTAAAACATTGTAAGTTTGAGTGCCTCCCACAGTCAGCAGGCAATGATTCTTAAAAATTGTTACAGGAAACTCACTTTATTTTAATAAAAAATAAAATTTCACTATGGAATTTTACTCTCTATAAAATTTATTTATTTATTTAGCTTGGAGTCTCACTCTATTGCCCAGGCTGGAGTGCAGTGGCATGCTCACGGCCACCGCAGCCTTAACTTGCTGGGCTTAGGAGATCCTTCCAAGTAGCTTGAACTACAGGCATGCACAACCACGCCCGGCTAGTTTTTTGATTTATTGTAGAGACAAGGTCTCACCAAGTTGCCCAGACTGGTCTTAAATCCCATTGTGTACCACAGCCTTGAACTGGATTCAAGAGATCCTCCTGCCTCAGCCTCCCAAGTAGTTAAATTAGATGTACTGTTTGCTCCATTCTCCATAATTCCACCTATGTTAATTAAATATAAAACCACACCAAACAAATATACAATTACTGAAAATACCAATGAAGTGATTAGTGACAGAATGCTTTCAATAAAGGAGAACTAGTAAAGTATACTCAGAAGATAATGAGAATACTAGTTGGACAGAACAGTCAGGGTACTAAGATGAAAACAGAAGTTAGACAAACTGAACTGAGACCTTGTAAGGTGTTAAAACTTGATCTAATAATCATGATTTTCAAAGTGGTTTGAGGAGCAGGGTTTCATAGAAGTTAATCTAGGAAGTGTTGGAGGTACCAAGATAAGGGCATGTGTGCCTGTGTGGTTCAATACTGCTGTATGGGCCAAACATGGTAGCTAACGTCTGTAATTCCAACATTTTGGGAGGTGGAGGCGAGGGGACTGTTTTTATAGCTTTCCTTTCCTTCCTGTGTATTGTAATCTTTTTCTTTTGTAGTGTTTTCATTTTTTATCATTGGGTGTCAGGTTGTCTTTTCTTGTCCTAATGTTGCCCAAGTGGGAGTACAGTGGCTCTTCACAGGTGCTAGCACACTGTAGCCTCAAACCCCTGAACTCAAGCAGTCCTCCCACTTCAGCTCACTGGTAGCTGGGACTATATGAGCACGCACCACATGCCCAACTAGGTTGTCTTTTTTTTTTTTTTAAATAAGGATCCATTCTGGAAGTTATTTATTTATTTTCTTAATTGTTTGCTTAAAGTCTGTGTTTTCTTTTAGAAAAATTTCTACTTTAAAATTTTTTTAACTTCATTATTCACTGCCATTTGTCTTTTGTGTGCCCTCTGGGACCGTTAATATGATTTAATTATGCTGCTATTTTATTCCCTGGATTGTCAACTGTGTCATCTGTTTGCTTGATCTTTGTCTTGATTTTGACTGATATTGTTTGTAACTGCTTTCCTTGTTGCCTTCAATGTTTTGAAATTTTTACGTTTACCATTATATTTTTAGTTTTCACAAAATCATATATTTTATAATAGTTCTTGTCATTTTATTTAAAAATTCTGATAACTTAATTAATCTTGTTTCGTTTGCCTAAGATTTGAAAAGTTTTCTATGTAACTTAAACATTTATTCTTTTGACCTCTGAAGTCTTTTAAATCAGACTTGAGTTGCTTTTTAATTTTAATTTCTCATTTACGAGTAACCAATAGACTTTTCATTTCTTATTTATGATTTTTTAAAATAAAGATGCCTTTTTTGTTTTGTTCAAAGCTCCAATTTTCCAAGAAATTTCACATTTTACCTATTATGTATTCTTTTAACTTGAGTAAAGTTAGAAGCTCTTAAAATTAATTGTATTTTCTGGGGCTTTACTTAATTCAGTAAACATTTATTGAGTTTAAGGAAGAAATGTACAAAACATATAAAGAATATATATTTCTGACCACTGCCCCACTTTCACCATAATAAGGACCCAACGGACTCTTATATCAAAGTAGATTTTACTGTAGTTGTGAAGTCATGTGTTCTTTCTCAGATTCACAAGGTTACTTTCTTCTTTTGTTCAAGACCCTCCATTCGGTTCTCATAAATTCATGGGTTTTAGAGCTTTGTGGGCTCTGCCTATGCTATAAAAACAAACGCCTATGGGTAACCTGAAAAGCAAAAATAACCAAAAAAGTGGGAATGTAAGAGCAGCAAAATCGAATAATGATCAAGAGTTTAGATATGAAGTCAGACTTATATGACTTAGAATTGCAGCCTACCATTTATTTCTTATGTGATGCTTAGCAAATTTCTAAACTCTCAGAGTCTTGTATTCCTCCCATTTAAAATGGGGTAATAATATTTGCCCCATAGGGTTGATACAGCACTAAGTTCACTCATGTCTCATATTAATAGAGCAGTTAACTGTATCATTCTTTATTGTACTTCTTTCTTTCTTTTTTTTTTTGAGTTGGCGTCTCACTCTCTCACCCAGACTGGAGTGCAGTGGCCGCTCC